GAAAATAAAGTGTTCATACTCTCAGTTTTTCTTTGTTTTCCTGTCATCATCATTAGAGTCACTTCTCTATCTCTGTCGGACGAAGATAACCACTTCTTAGGTTTGTGTTCTTCTGCGATAGTTACAAACAGATAGAGATAAAGAGATACGCGTCTCGTCAATCTTCACTACTTTTTAAAATCAATATTTTTTTTTCGAACAACGTGGATAAATATCAAAGTGTGGGTTTGGATTCTTAGTAGATAATTTTGTGACCCACAACAAAAGGAAAAAAATGGTGATTATATATCTTTTACCAACTTTCCTTTATAGGAATTTTTTTGATGAAAACCAGATAGTTCAAATAAACTCACAAATCCATGTAAGAATAAAATACCCAAGACGAGGCAAATTTATGTTTCTTGGGTTCTAATTTAAAACCACTCAGCAGAGTAAATGGATTATCTATTGGCTCTTATATATGTTGGACTAGGTCGTAACATTTTTCTTTGAAATAATGCCTTACTTTTCTTCAATCTTTGAAATTCTCTATTTGCTAGGTAGTCTGTTCAAAGAAAAAAAAAACCCAATAACTGATTGATTTTTAGGTTATTTGATTTCAGATTATATTGTCTGGGTTATGATACAGCCTCAGATTTAATTGATTTATAATCAAAGATGAGTGCATTCACTCATATTCTTCATTTAATACATTTAATTATATGTTTCCATTAATATGATATACTATATATATTCGATAAATCCAAAAATTAATACTACAAACGGGACTTATCCAGATTCACAATTTCACATTTGATTTAATATTCAAAAACAAGAAACACGTACAGGGGTTAGGGAATGGTCTGATAAATGAGAAAATGCGCATCCACGTATATATAGAGTGTGATTGGTAATGGTTTTAGGTGTTCTCTAGAGTACCATGTATTTCTAAAGCACCAAACTCACAGTAATCAAACTTAATGATTTTGTAAAAATTACAACTCATGAAATAATCTACATCTGTACAAGTGTTTTCTAGAGCCAAATATTCAAAGCAAATTTTTTGAACTTTCCATATAATGCACAGCAATAAAATCTAAAGTTATAGCAAAAAAACTATACCATATTTTCTACAGCTAAAATTTTAAAGATACAGTCATAACCAATCTACCCCATACTCTCCGTGTGAACTATGAATACACTCGTTCAAGTTGAACATACTATTTTTCAACATATATATATTTTTAACAAAGTTATCGTAGATCGAAGAATTTATAACTTTAAATAGAACTATTTATTTAACTGAGATTACAAACACCGATTTATTAATATTTTATAACACTTTCTTTTTACAATTAATTTTTTAAGTTTAAATAGATCTATGTCAATGAGAAAAGGCCAAATGGTCTTCTGATTTCTCAACATTTTGAAGAATCTTTAACAAAAAAACGATTCTTTTTATTTGTCATTCTTATCTCTTTATTTATGTTATTATTATTTTGTAAAAAAATGCTTATGAAAAAGATACCAACAATGGTGTTGACTGTCTCCAACCTATTTTGATATATTTGTTTAAAAATAAAAATTAGAATAAAGATGAATTTTATTCAAATATATATCAATAAAATAAAGAAATATTTTCCTCTCTGCTTAGAGAACTATATATTATGTTATTTCTTCCTCTATATGTAGAATTCTCTTAATAAAAAGGAAGAGAAATAATTTATATTTTTAAAGACATATATTAGAACAATATATATTTACTTTTGGAATTTTCCTACTTTCTTTAAAAAGTGTAGAAAAGATTAAAATTTCATATAGTTTGATAACTGATAATTATTTTTTAATTAGATATTCTGGCACCCACAGAAGTAGATCTAGATAGTTTCACTGTATTGAGTATTTATTTACAAGTTAATGATCACTAGATCACAAGTTTCGGTTAATTGACAATTTTTTAATTTCACACCTCTGATAGATGGACGCGCGTTAATGATTGTTCTCACTGTGTCTTAACTCTGTCAGTAGCGGCCCTGGGTAGAAGCATTATAAGCATCTGCTTTCGACCCTTAAAATAAAATAAAATGTTTGGCCTTTTTTCACAAAAGTTATTATAGCTCAGATGGTTAAATAGTAGACTTTTCTTCTATAGGTAGCAAGTTCAAATCCCACCTGTGACCTTTTTTTATGTGGGAAGCTTCCGGTCTTTGTTTTTTTTTAGCTTTTCAGGGTCGAGCCTGACTCTGTTCATGCTATATATTGACACGTGCATAAGGAACTCGTTCACGTGCTTAAAAATATGATTTTGTCATTGTTTATGCACACCTTCGAGCTATCGTAACTGTCAGGTCGTTATATATATTCTGAATCATTTTTATCATGTGATGTAAATGCACGAAGAGAAGCAATCTTTGATGAGTCATGAACGCGTAAAAATACGCGTCATCAGAAAAGTGATATGTCTGCTAGTATCGTTTTCTCTGTTCAAAGTTAATTCGGCATGTTGCGTTTGTTTTTTGTTTTGTTTTTGAATTAACATGGGTGGTCGTTCAAAAAAAAAGAATTAACATGGGTGTTTTGCGTTTGTTTTACTCTACTTTTTTTTTTCTATTGCTCGTATCCATTATCTTTCAACTGCAACGTTAATTTGACATGAATGCTTGCAGACACAACAAATGCATAATATATAATGCAAATTTCTAAAAATTAAGGTCCACTGTTTAGCCATCTCTTAATAACACAAAAAATATAACTCGTGTCTCAATCACGTTTAACAAAAATAATTGAGATACATTTATCCCATATAACACGTTTTATGAATGATAAGTTTATAAAACTCACATATATATATATATATATATAGAGTTTAGAGGAAATTATCAAAATACCACTTTAAGTTTGGATAGACTAGTTCTAAAAAAGCATCTAGGTACGTTTAACATTATTTATTGAAACTTATATAAGTCGTTATTTTAAACAATTTCTTTACTTTCAGAATCGATGAAGCTATATTGTTTTTACCTTCTTTTTTTATAACAATGAAGTGAAATTCTGATCATGTGTATCTTATAGTGGTGTTTTGAAAAGAAAAACAGTGATAACTTTCTGCATATTTTTTTTTTTTTTGTGAAATCGACTTATAATTTATGTATTTTTTTGTCATAGAATGAAATTATAATACTTAGTTGACAAAAACGGAATAAATATTCAGTTCAATAATAACAGAGGTCACATGAACAATTTAATTTTAAAGAAAGCTTCAAAATCTGTGAGCTATTATCCTGAATTCCTGATAAGCTTTTCAATGTCGAAATCTTTTAATGTGGTTGAGAGTTGAGACTGAAAAATGGCAAGATAAGGTTGATGTTGTTGTGAGTCTTTGGTGGGATATTTGTTGTCTTATTTTGGAGCAGCATGATGAGTATACATATAACTATTCTCTTACTTAATTTTCTCTATTTTTACTATGATTTCCTTAAATACGTGAATTACTTTTAGGCAACCTTTTAACTTTACACGGAAACAGTAAGTCACTATGTTCACTTTGATTTAAAAGGTTGGAAAAGGTGTCATGACAATATCTAAAATACACTAAAAACTCCATAAACTAATATTTTATAAATAATAAAAATGATAAACTAATAATTTTGGGACAGTTTTAAATTCAACCGGCATAAAATACGATACGAGAAAACATATATATATATATATATATTACTCATTAATTATATAAAGTTTATATAAATATAAAATATATTGTATAGTAAATTATTTTTCTTCACATTCAAAATTATTTTAAATTATTTTAAATCTATTGATGAAATTTTGTCATTTTAAATCTATAAATTTATTGACATTTATGGTACATATTTTCTGTGCACCAAATAGTCGAATAGAATAACATAAATTTTGTATATTTTCTGTAATATATTGATCTAAATATAATAAAATTATATTAAAATGATAATTTTTATTTTATTTTATTTTCTTAATTATAAAATATTTATGTTCAAAATAAAATCTAATATGTTGGTGAGACGGATTAGAGTTAGAAAACTATATAATACATATATATATAAGACATGTTTTAAAAAAACTATATAATACATGTATATAAATTAATATGTATTTCACTAAAGTTAATAATGTAAAATCCTTGTAACTATTTTAACCATGATATCTTTTCATTTTAAATATATATATATATATATATATATATATATTAAATTTTAAAAATTCTAATAAATTTGTACAAAAATATTTTACAGTAACTTAATGTATTTTAAGTTATCGTTTATAGAATGAAAAATTTAAATTATATCCTATTTTATTTACTTTATAGTCATAATCATCATGTTAAAAACAATTATTACATTGAACTAAATATGATAAAAGTATATAAATTGATAAATTTACAAATTTTATTTTTATAAATATAAAATATTTATTTTAAAATATAGGATTATAACAAAACGGTCAAATTAGCAAACTATATAATACATGTCTAAAAATTAACATATCTTAGACTTTTGTATATACAATAATATTATCTGAAATGAATAAACATAAAAATATTGGTAAAATAAAATTCAAATTTGAAGGACAATTCAGAATTTACCATAAATTAAATACAAAATAATTTTTAAACATGTTTTCTGATGAATATATTAATTTTTAATAACTAAATGCAAATACAATAAGATAAATATATAATAAGAAGTGACAAATAAATATGGTTTTAATTAATATAACATGTAAATTATGAAGTTATTGTATTTAAAATAGTTATATAAACATTTAAGTATATGATTAACGTTAAAAATATATACTACTTATGTTCTAAAGCAAATATTTATGTTTATAAAAGTGAAAACAAAAATTTGCGCGAATCAAAATCTAGTTTTATGATTAAAATCGCATCTTCATCAAAACCTCAACATTAATATTTATATATTTGTAAGTTTGTAACTAAATCATTATAAGTAAAAAAATGTTATATGACAGCAAAAAAAAAGCTGCAAAAGGAAGAAGATAATATTGCAATAAAAGTGGAGTAACAAGCAGAAATGCAGTATCAAATTCCTCCATATATTGACTGAGAATGACAATTTATCTATGGAAAAAGAAATTAGCAGAGCTGAAAAACAACATGCAATAAAGCACAAAAAAACAAGTACATGCAAGAAAATTTTTTTTCTGCATTTGATATATTTGTTACCTATAACATTATACTCGGATCTCGTCAAGCTATGTATGATTTGACTTCTTGGTTATCGCTCTATGGTTTGGTTTCCTCATGCGTTCTTCGGATATCAAACATATCCACAAACTCCAAAGGAGAAACAGTCTCGTTTCTGATCCTCTTAACCTTGGGACTCAACAGTCCCCTGTGTCTAAACCCATACAGCTTCATCACTTGGTCATCAGCAAAATTAAAAGCCCTCTCCATGCTCTTAAAGCACCTCTCCTCCGCGTAATCAGCATACCTACCACACGGTTTGCACCCCACGAAATGCGTCACAAAAGGCCATCTCTCATCACCTAACCCCGGGTGATACTTCTCCATCATCTCTTCATACTTATCAACCAAACCTTCCCAAAACCCATGCAAATAGTATTGATTCTCAACGTAAACTTTATCCATCCACTTATCCTTCTGCGTAAGGAGAAGATATATCAACGCTGATTGATCATCCGCCTCAAAAGCTGGCCTACCTTTCAGATAAGCAGTCAGTACCTTCCCAGCTTCGTCACGAACCGGCCCTTTTGGGCCCATTGGAGCCCAAGCATCTAACAAATCCAACGACCACTGACAATTCCTCAACAGAAAAACACCAGTGTTCAACGCAACCCATGACTTTTGGTTGAACAACAAGTCTGGATAACCATGTATCACAAGATTATGCTTCTCGTAACGTGACAAGGGGATCTCAAAGAGTATATCAGTGAACAAAGCATCACTATCCATCCACCAAATCCATTCCACTTCTGGATGAGACAGCATTAATCTCCTAATCATAGGCAGTTTAGTCCAATACCCTGAGAGTTCCTCATCTAGATGCGCCATGTTGTACATAATCTCTATCCCGTGAAGCCTACAGTAATCAATCTTGTTCTTGACTGATTTCAGTAGATAATAGTCTCCAATGGGTTTATCACAGGGTCCTGGAGAAGACCCGGTGAGAAGCAAGATTCTAGCTCTGCCGTTGACTATACTAGGAAACTCAGGGTTTTGAGTAAGCCATACCTTGCGTTGACTGTCCCAGTTGGTGATCTTGGGACCTAGAGTGTACGTCACGTTGGGATTAACCTCAGCTTTTTGTGGCTCCTCCAAGGCAGTTGGAGGGTTAGCCTCAGCTTTTTGTGGCTCCTCCAAGGCAGTTGGAGGGTTAGCCTCAGCTTTTTGTGGCTCCTCCAAGGAAGTTGGAGGACTAACCTCAGCTTTAGGCGGCTCCACCAAGTCAGTTGGAGGATTAAACTCAGCTTTCGGCTGCTTCTCCAAGTCAGTTGGAGCAGAATCAGATGGGCTCTCGGCAAGATTCGGCTCTGTTTCTGATACAGAGAAACTATTTGCATTTCCTGTATCAGTTTCCTTAATGAGATTTTGGTTAGTTTCCATGATGAGATCTTGATTGACTGCGTCAGGGTTGGAGTTTCCAAGGTTACCAACACTGACTGTGCCAAGTAAGATGAGAATGGTGACGAAGCCGCAGAGAATCATGATTTTGATGTTGAGTGAGGTATTTTGAACCTGCCAACCGCGCAACAAGACACGGCCTCTCCCTCCACCATTAGATACAGCCGTTGTTGAAAGTCCTCCACCACTTGCGGAGGTTCTCAACGCATCCTGAACCATTTCACTTGTCGGCCGCTCCTTCTTCTCTAGATGTCACTTACAGAGAGAGAGACCTGAAGATGACACTTAAAGCCGTACACACAGTCTAACTAATAACCAAAATCAGTGAAGACTTTCTTGTTTACTCACAGGGTTTGTAGATCTTACTTTGAACTCCACCGCTCTGAAATTTCAGATTTTTGGCAGGATCTCTCGATGGAAGACTAGTAGATGATGGAGATCAAAGTCAACAATGTGAGGGGCCTCCTTTAAAAATGAATTAAAGAATATTAAATAAGAGCAGGGAGAAATATGGTCTTAATTAAATATATTTGATGCTAGAGAAAGTGCTCTGCTCGATACAATCTGGCAATATGCATGTCTCCCAACATTAGCATCTTATTATGAAGAAGAAAACGTTTAGCAACTTCAACCTACGCCAGATTGCTTGGATATTTTGTAGGAGGATGTTTCAAAAGCATGCTATGTATCTCTACCAAGTCAAGTAACCAAGTGCATAAATAAAAATCAAAAACCAACAGTGTATAAGGGTAAAAAGTCTATACCTGAATCAGCCATGAGTTTAAACCTTGGATGTTGGAACCTTGACGCAGTGTTTTGAAACGTGTTGCGGTAAAACCTGAGATTGAACCTCCCAAAAAAATATTTAATGTACTAACAAGTTGGATCCAAAGGAGATCATAATTACGAATTCAAAAAATTAGAACTGAAGATGGTAAAGAAGTCATTAAGTCGACTGACCAGCAGGGGGAGGTTTTATATCTGCAATATACGACAACATACTCACTTTCAAGCTCTTTTTAGCATGTTGCAAACCTGGAACTATCAAAGCAGACAATTTGTGTTCATAAAGAAACAGAAGAAATGTTCAATTCTTTTTCATTATGCTGCAACAGAAGGTCGAAAATGAGTGAAGATTTCCTCAATGCCATACAAGGGATAGTCCCTTGATAACCTTCTCCATTACAGATTTGTATCTGCAAAATACTGAGCATCATTGATGGTATTAGCAGAAAGCTAACACACAACATAAATAAAATAGATTTAGTGCACAACGAATCAACCGACCTTAACATAACCACATGTACAAATATCTCCTGAGCTGGAATCCCTGTCATAATCAATTTAAACAAAAAGAAAACGTTGTTGAAGTTCGTCTGCAATGTACTTTCCACTGAGAACCCTTAAAAGTCTAATGACTTCTAATCCTAAAATTCAAGTAGATACTGATATACATTCGAATATATACAAGCGTAGCCTACCTACATATACTAACACTAAGATCAATACCCAATATTTAGAAACAAGGTCAAAGAGAAGTTTTTCATCTATATAATAAAAGCTAGAAGAAGCTTTATAACGTTAGCAGTTTAGCAATCAAGGCCATTTAAATCCTTCTTACACATTTCAAGACATCAAAACTAGCAACAAGCTTCGAAATTTCACCCATTGCATTGTCCTCAAAGAACTTGTTTCTTTTTTAAAGTAGAGTTGCATTCATGTTCCTCTGGTTTTAATTTTAAGAAAACAATTCATTATGAAGAATCATGAAACATATACACACACACGGACGGATACTAGTTTCTGGAAAACCTATGAGTTAAACAGTAGCTCCCGAGAGAGAGAGAGAGATCGCGTAGGAGAATGTTCAGGAACGAGGGAAATGTACCATCGTAGTGAGAAATGGGATAGGAGCCGCATCGTCTCTGATGAAGACGGAGGTCACCTACCATCACGAAGACAGATCTTTCCTTCGCCATAGCAAACTCCGATCACATACTCTGCCGCGTTAACTTTTATGTTTTAGTGATGCATTTAAATAGTGTGATTACTCTTTGTTATGGACTCATCTTATCTAAAACGAACCTCCAACTTTTCATGTAATTCAATAAAAGCCTTGAAACTTTAAAATTAAAACATATAAACCTCATCAAGCGTGCGATTTACTGCCAAATAAGTTATCAAGGGACAGAAATGCGAAAAATATTATGCTGATTTTAAAGATCATGTAGATTTTAAGATCCTCAAGGCTATGTTATATAAGTTTGTTCGACGAGATAAAACAAGTTTGCATACCAAATTAACAAAAGTGTATCCACAGAGGTTCATTTCTTTCTGCAGTTGGTATCATGAACAATATGGTAGTTTGGTTACAACACACAATAATGGCTCGACCAAGGATGATAATAGTCCTACAAGGACCTCTTATCTTATGTATTCCTTTAATAAATCATCTTTTTTTTTTTTGTCAACTTCTTATGAAGTTTTATCTCTTGCTTATAATTCAGGTAGGTATAATATGGTGCCGGTTCATTGCATACTGCATCCTCGTTCTACTGATCGAAGATATATCAATCCGCGCCTTATTCTCTGCAATGGAAAAAGTTTTCCACAATCAAAAGAAATGTAACAATAATATTGAGCAAACTAGACTAGTTTTATATTCCAAGTACCTCCCCAGTATCTTGAAGCCGAAGTAGTTCCAATCTTTCTGAAGGTCTCCTATCTGTTAATGTCGCAAGCTGACGCCCCCAAAAACAAAGCCATTGAGCAACAATTTCAACACAAAACTATATATTGCAAGAGAGATAGAGTTGCAAATTTATCAGCATTACCCAGAAACTGAAGCGCTCTGGATCTTGAGGTGTAGGCATCATGGATTCAACAATTAGAAGTGATTCAAGCCTTCTTCTGTCTGCGTAGAGAAAGAAGAAGTGAAAGACTAGATCATGTCTCAAATGGTAAAGACTAAAGAGTATACAAAAGTGGCACAACTATTAAACAATTACTGTCATAAAACAGAACTCATGACTAGTTCACTTTAATTAGTTGCTTACCTCCTTGTCTAGCTGCTTCCTTTGCTCTCTCTAGCCATGACCGAGCAAATGATGCTGCACTTGTCGTCAATTCCCGCAGCTGTAAACAAGTCGCATAGAAAAGTGAGGAAATAAACTCTTCGTACCAAAAGGCAGAGAAGTATTTGAAATGGCAATAGCTCAAGAGATGTAATTATACATCTGCTTTCTCTTGGTCGCTTTGTGGTGGTATATCTGTCACCCATTCAACCTCTGCAACACGATATCTGAAAAAAAAACAGATATTAAGAAGCTACGCATTTGTGTTTGAATATGACTAAAATGATGATGTATGTATGGAACAAAGTACATTCACACATGTTGAAATTTTTTTATAGAAATATGCGATGTAGAAACATGTATATACCACACTCTAACACGAAGACAGAGACTATGTCAAGAAAAGAGAAAAAAACAGGAACAATAAGATCAACTAATATCATAAGACTGGTACGGACTAAGAGTATCCAACTGCAATATAATTCAATAGTAAGCTCAAAAACAGTCATATATTCAGAAATGACAATGGTCGACTCAAAAAACATCATACTAAGCTTACCCATCTTGATCCCAAGCTTTTACAATGCGACACCTTCTGTGGCTTTCCAGCTGAAAAAAGCAGATACTAAGTTGATCATTTGACAACTTACAGATGAAATAAATCCACAACATAAGTAATAACATTCACCTCCAGGACAAAACGCCCATCAGGTAATGGATCACACCTGTGTAATTCCAAAACATTAGCAGACTCTGTGTGAGTAATCCCAAGATAAAATCATCGAATGAAGCACACTAAGAATTATCAGAAAGAAAGAAGCAACATACTCTGTGATTTCGACTTCGCAAGCAACATCCACTGGTGAACCTGTCGCAGAATCAAGAGCTACCTATGAACATCGAAATGGGCAAACTTACTAGTCAGAAACGGTTTATGAATGTATAATGAAGAAGCAACAAGGAAAAGGAGACAACACCCACCATTCCCATCCGATGATTTCCCTCCATTATTCTTCTCACCTGTTTCAGTTAACACAAGTTAAGCAGAGTACAATGTCAAGGAGACTTGGAGAGATTCAGAAAGAAGTTTTCGGAATGCAAACAACAATACTGCTGCAAGCTAGAGTGACAGTAGAAGTTTTAAGCCACTAGTGCTTATGTAGAGACCCCTTTATCTTGTCTACATTCGACTTTCTTAGGTTATTTATGAAGACTTTACGACTTTTACATACTAATATCATTTAAGTGTTTTGTGAAAGCGAGCCAGAAACCAAGTTTTACTCTAAATGAGTGTCTAATCGCCGCAAAGAGTTCTAAAATGTACAGAACCGTAAAAGAATATGAAAGAACTCACCATCAGTCTATATCTTGGTTCAAATATGTGAAGAGACAACTTCTGACAAGGGATGATCACATCCATGACAAAAAGAGGCATACTTTCATTCCCTAAGTGGACCAGAGTGTGTTGCTCTGATTTCCTTTCAGCATACTCCTCTGGAAAATTCCTTTGTATGATGTTATTCAATGTCACACTGCCAACACATAACTTTAAAGCATGAGCGTTCAATATACTATGGCATTGGACCTATAAGAAAATTAGAGAAGACTGCAAATCTTTTACCTGACAGCGCATGTCCTTGGAGTCATAAATATAACAGTTCGACAAAGTGGACATTTGTTGCCTATATTCCAAAAAGCATTAATTAGCAACACAAAGAAGACATTTTCAGGAGTGAAACAACAAACAACCATATAAACCCACCACGATCCATAGACTGAAAGAGGCATGATCGGCAGAATGTATGCCCACATGGAGTTGTAACAGGTTCATACAGCAATTTTAGACAAACGGTGCAATCAAAGTCATCAGACCGCTCAGCCTTTCCATGTGTTTTTCTCATCGAAGTAGGCATGACCTTCTCCAATTCCTGAAGATTGGATCGGAGAGGATCGCTTCATGCAATCAGAAAGAAACCTCAGACTTTAAAAACTAGGCAATCTATTAAAGTATCAAGACAGCATCAGAAATGGTACACATAGAGTACCGTACCTGAAGGGATCAATCTGTAGACCTGAGAGGATAGTGTCACGTGCCATCTCATATCTTTCTAGCTGCACAACCGAACCAAGCAGAGTGAGAAACTCTTGATAGTACATTGAAATAAAGACAAGCGAGAAAGATCTGTTGACTAGAAAGAAAATGAACATAAGAATAATTTGGCACATACCAACATGAGGGCACAAGCCTTTGTGGTATATGACTTCACTGAATTGCTCTGAAGACTCATTAGCTTATCAGCATCCTTGAGAGCAAGCTGTAGGAAATATCAGGTTTTCAAGGCGAGTCAGAGTGGATAACTGGTAGTAACAGGTTAAGCAAGTAGAATACATACCTCTCCAAGCATCGACATATCAAAACCGTTCAGAGGTGTATATTCAGAAATCGATGCAGATCTGTGCCTTAGATATTGTCCTAGTCTTTAAAAAACAAAAGGTTGAGAGATGTAGAGAGATAAGAATGTGTCAGTACCAGTTATATTTGTGAACCGAGTAATTAGTTACACAATCCGATGAACTTTTTATTAAACAAGAAGAAAATTCCATTGGAACTCAAAATAATGGCAAGGGTTAAAAGAAAGCTTTACCTTATATAAGCAGCACTTCTATTGCTTAGAACAATAGGGTCAAGAGGCTTGATAGAATAGGCTTTTGAATAATTGCTAATCGCCTGGAAGCAAAAAAAGATATGTTATTGGCAAGAACATAACTGAGAGTCTTATCTGAGGTTTCAGCCTCAAAACCAAATTAAAAAAGTGTCATAAGACAAGTGCTACGATCATTATAATGTTCACCAAGAAGCTACAAGATATCCAATACAGACCAAATCAGTTTGCTTTGAGCTAACCAACTGTTTGGTTCCAGGCAATTCCTAATGAAGCAGCAATAGTGCAATACAAATGAAAAAAAAAAACTGAAAAGAGATTCATTCATTTTCACACCTCTTCAAAGCGAGAATCATTGAATGCTTGGTTGCCCTTCTCAACAAGTTGAAAAACCTGATTGTGTATGTCCAAAGGCAATGAATTGTCAGCTTCACTGACCTGCAAAATCAAAATAACTAAAAAGTTTCAGATAATCAACCTCAATGATGTGAATTAACACAAGCCTCAATTAGAACCTGTTCTGTAATGACATTCCGAAGATAAAAGAAGGATAAACACACTCACCAAACCATAGTTTTCGACATCATTCAAACCGAACAAAGTGAATAACGGAAGAGATTCTTCGTTCGACATCGAGCAATAGATCAAATCAACTCAAGAAAAAAAAACGAAATTGAAAGATTGAAACTTAGGGGGGAACAAAGAGAAGAATAGGAAGAAGCAACGCAGAGAGAGTATTGTCGTGTACTCTTGTGCGTCCACGGAGTAGAACCCTCCTACGTGTTTATTCTCTCTCCAAGCTTCTTCTCTTCTTCAATCTCTCTCTCTCTGTTCTCACTAAAAGGTTAATCCTTTATGTCTGTTTATCTTCTTCCTGAGATCATTGGGTCAGGTAAAGAATTTAATTGTCTCAGATTTCTCAAAATCTTCCCAATTATTTTACAATAAATATTAAAATATTGTTACAATGAACCAATTACTAGCTAAAACTTTTATAGTAAAAAAAAACAATTCATTTTTTTTTAGGGAATGGTTCATGCAATAAGTTAGAAAGACTTTCAGACCGGACCTACTCAACAAGAGGTTGGATGAGGTTTTCTCCTCTCACGCAAAGACAAAGCTGTGGTAGTTAGAGCATCTCCAACCCCACTCCAAAACCCACTCCAAACTCCATTTTGCAGTAAAATCTTCTCCAACCCTACTCCAAAACTCACTCCAAAATGGAGTAACAAACATGATTACTCCAAATATGGAGTAAACCAACTCATTACTCCAAAATGGAGTTGAACTTTTTTATTTATCAAATAGTCCTCCATATTTATATATGTTTCATTTTTAATAAAATACTAGGTGATTTTCCCGTGCTCATGCACGGACATAAATATTTATAAAATAAATATATTATAATAATTTATTGATATTTACTTTAAATTTTAAATTATTTTATAATTTGTAGGTATAATTTATATTAAGAATATTATATTAATTTAATTATACATATAGTTTTAGATATGTTTACTTTTGTCAGTTTTATTGTTTTTACGGTTGATTTAGTTATCATTTGCATATATTAGATTCTATTTGTTTCTTTGAATTCAACTATAATTTTTTTTATCCTAAATATATTAATTTTTTGATTAATTGTCATATTTACATTTATGCCGGTTGTTATCTTAGAAATATAAGTATATCTAGTAAGATTATGTATAACTTAAGATTTTTTGTGCTTCGAAAGAAAAAATAAAAACTAAACTGTCTGATTCTAAATTACATACATAAGTAACTAATATATTTTGGAAGCTTATGAACACATAACAATATTTACAATATTTACTTAAGTATTTTGATTATGGTTATATTAAGTTCCACAAACATAAAAACAGAAAATTAAAAATCAAAAGAGTTATTAAGAAAACATATAATTTTAACAATTAAAATATATTATATCTACTTCGTTAAATTATATAGTGTTATGATATTTCAAAATAATTGTAGTTATTCAATCAAAAAATATTTATTATTAAAATTTATTTTTAGTTTTGTTTTTAATATCTGTTAAAATATGCAGTAAAATGTTATTCTTTTTGAGAAATGATATTATATAAGTAAAATAGAATTTATATGTTTTGTTGTATTGTGAGATATTATAGTCAAATAAATATACTAAAAAAATCAAAAAAATATATATTTCAAGAATACAAATTATAAAAAAAATCAATTAAACATATATCAGTTTATGTTACTTAATTATTTTATGTAATCATCTAATAAAATAGATAGATATATACCAAAAAATAATTACTTTGAATATATATATATTATTGTTTAAAATTATTTTTTAAAAGGAAAAAAAATATTTCTTTTTCTAATATCAAGATTAGTTGTGTGAATTTTTTTATGGAATCACATTATATAAAAATATTGTTTTTCATCTAAGAAGATATAGATATGAAGTATTTTATTACTTCAAAAGTATATTTTATGTTATTTAAAATATATTTAAATTAAATATTACTATTTTGTGAACTTTCCTTTTCTATGAAACCATATTTCTATATACTTATATTTTCGTTTTAAATAGTTTTGTAAACTTTATAAATGTTACCTTTTTATTTTATCTTGTTATTTGGAAAATTTTGAAAAGGAAATAATAATATTTAAATATATTTTTTTAATTCATTAGGGGTATCATAGTAATCAACCATCGTGAAAGTTAACATGAACGCGACACATAAGAAAGTGACTTCTCAAATAATATTAGAGAGATTATTATAAATAAGTACTATATATATTATAAAATTTACTGTTATATTTTTTAATTATATAAATAACCTCATTTTTAATAAAATATTATTATAGATAAGTATATTAATATTATC